CGTATTTTGTATATTTTTTATAATTTTTTATCATCCTTATTTTAATCAGGTCTAAATTTAATTCCTTTAATTTTTAGATTAACATGACTAAAATGGTTTAAAGGATGGCAAACTAAATATTTAAATCCACCATTATTTATCATTTCAAGGCTGTAGAAAAGTTTAGCTTTTTTTTTGCTCTGAATAAAAAAGTCCAAATGAAGCTGAATTGCAAATGTAATTTGATGATGCTTTTTACCTTTGACCCATGCACCATTACCATTAAAATAACTGTTGGGGTTTTAATGACTGCGGATGTTTTGCTGCTTTTACACTGCACAAGTTGACCCATTTCCAACATCTTAATTAAAAACTAAAAGCATACAAGCATTGCAAGCATACTCAGTCTCATTATCACACATTATATCTTTTCATATTTGTCTGCAGTTGTTTTATGTAAATGAGACAATCCCTTACAAAGCACAAAAAAGCTGCATCACAAATTGAGTTGCACTAGATGAAATGCGTAGTAAAACAATAAAACAACATAAATTTCTCCCTGTTGTTGGAGTAGGAGTATTCAGCCCGAGCAGGTGTTTTCTGTCTGAAAACAATTCATTGATTCTGTTTACTTGTTCTGTTTTGGTGTTTGAAAAGCAAATTATGCAACAAAATATTGAATAAAAGACGCTGGAAAGAAACGGTGGTGCAGTTGATTTAAAATGTAAAATTAATGTTGTGGAATATTAATAATTGTGATGTAAAATGGATTAGTTTAGAGATATTTAATTGACATGCATCTATTATTTATGTGTGTAAAGAGAAAAAAACATTATTGAAATTTTTAGCTTTTAAAAAGTACCTTTTAATTTAATTTAATATAATTGTGTTTAAGTTAATGCAAATTAAGTTAAATTTAATTTTAAAATATTTAAAAATATTTATACAAAATAATACTAAATTATTTATGAAGCGTAAATTCACAGGCACACATTAACATGCGTTAATTTCATTTATTTTAATGCAAATCAAAATTTGTTTTATTACTATTTTATTATTATTTTTAATATTTATTTTAAATCATACTAAACTATTTATGAAGTATAAATTCACAAGCACACGTTGACATGCATTGTTTAATTTAATTTTATTTTATTTAAATCAGTGCAAACTTTAAATTAAGTTGCATTTAATTTTATTAATATTTTTATTATTTTTTTAAATATTTATATAAAATGATACTAAACTATTTGTGAAGTGTAAATTCACAAGCACACATTGATATGCATTAATTTCATTTCATGCAACTCAATGTAAACTTTAAATTAAATTACATTTAATTTAATTTAAAACTAAATTTACAGGCACATGTTGGTATTCGTTACTTTTATTATATATTTTTTTAATTGCAAAATTATTTACTGAATACAAAATTATTTATGAGTTGTAAATTCACAGACGCATATTTACATGCATTAATTTAATTTAATTAATTGCAAATTAAGTTAATTTTGGAAATTAAAGTACAATAAATTATAAACGTTTCATTTTTTTATTTAATTTTATTTTATTTTATTCAAACTAAATAATTCTTGATGTGTAAATATGCAAAAATAATTAACCCAAATATTTCATATATATTTATTTATTTAAATTTTATTTTATTTTTTATTTTTGTTTTATTTGATGCAACTGATGTTTAAATTAAATTGAATTTAATAAAATTAAAAACCATTTATACAAAACAATTTATGAAGTGTTTAATCACAGGCAAAAATTTAACTAAAAAAATATTGTTTACACAAAATAAAGAAAAACATTTTTTTATTTTACTTTGAGGAACAGCATATTTGTTGTATGAAAATCCCCTCATTTGTGGGTCTTTATGAAAAAAAAAAACAGTACATAGAGAGCAAGAAGCAAGAAATCAACATTTAATACATATGTTAAAGTCTCCATAAAGTCTAGACACAGGACCAGATGACATCAACCACCTTGGATTGCAGTGAGAGTGTTGAAAGAAAAATACAAGAGACTGTATACTGCCCTACCAAAAAAAAAAAAAAAAAAAACAAGTCATGAAGCCAAGAATCATCATGCAAACAGCTCTATGGAAACACGTCTTTTGGAATTGGAGTTTCCAAGCACTTAAAGTTGAACCCGTCAGATGTGTTTAGAGTTGTTTAGTCATGAGAGATGAGGCTTGGTTCATCTTCATTTCTTGTTTTTTATTTTTTTATTTTAGGTGATTGTGGATGAAGCTCATTTTTTGCTAGGTTTCCTAAACACACAAACAAGAAACAGCTGTTGCTTTGTTAGCCACTAGAGGGCAAAAATATCAAAAAGACTCTCTGCATCTGCAGTTCATTAGAGGCCACACTGTCAAAATAATATCGGTAAATTAGCAGTTCTCCGTGTTTTGTGATTCATGTGTCCCCCCGCCCCCCCCCCCCCCCCCCATGCTTAAGAACTGCATTATAGGAGCTTTATCTTTCTTTGAACAATTTTGAACCTTTAAAAGTTTGAAAAAGTGACTTGTGATATAATGTCTTGCTTGGTGGTGTGTGTTATGCTTCAATAACCTTGTAGTAAACTGCCAGTACATTTTCTGCTACAGACTTATTTATCTATATTATTTATTATATGTTCATTATCTTATTTCAAACTACAATAAAAGTCACTTTGTTAAACTTAAGAGTTTAATTTTCAACATCAAAAGTTGACAAAGCAGATATTAATGGCCCATAATGCAATTCACAAATGTAAATAAATCACAAAACATGGATAGTGTTAATTAACAGATATTTTTACATTGCGGAAATAAAACAGAGTTTGTATACCACTAGCATAAAATATAATAATGAACCTAATTACTTTAGTGACAACTATCTGGCCTTGTGGGCTTTCAGAGGTCAAAGGTCAAGGATTCAAGACTTGGTGCAAACAATCCCAATTATGAAGGGTTCAGATTGCCCTAACCTCAGTAGGCTATCAGTGATGGGGTGTTTAGCTTTGTTGGCACCACAGAATCAATTCCTGCATTTTTATTGATTCAGCATGCAGTTTCATTCATTGCATGACTGTTTTTGTGCATTTGTCATTATTCATTCATTCATTAGGGGTCACCACAGCGGAATGAACCGCCAACTTATCCAGCATATGTTTTACACAGTGGATACTTCCCAGTACTGGGAAAACACCCTTACACTCTCACATGCACACACATACAGTACACTACAGTCAATTTAGTTTATTCAGTTCACCTATAGCACATGTCTTTTGGACACAGGGAGAACACAGAAATGCCAACTGACTCAGCCGGGACTCGAACCAGCGACCTTCTTGCTGTGAGGAGACTGTGCTAACCACTGAGCCACAGTGTCACCATGCATTTGTAATTACAATGGTGTAAATGTACCTTATCATGACGTAAACAGACACACAGTATGCTGCATCTTCATCAGCTTCTCTTTTAAGTACTTTTTAAAATGACTCTGTTGTTATTATAGATGTTTGTGTATTAAAATGTGATTTTATTACCTATTTAAGAACAACCTCACTTTGGAGTGTTTTTATATGATTTTAAAATGACTTTTTGATCCTATTACACAACTTTCTGCCATATAACTGTCAATATCAAAGTAATATAATATCACAAAGTAAGACCCTTATTATTTCTGTACTTATAAACAACAGGAGCTTTTATAATAACATATCCAGCACTTACAGTATGCTATACAGTATATAAATATATAGTTGTAAATTCAAAGGCTGGACCATTACACATCATGTCACTCATATTTTGGCATTTTATCTTTTAAGCTATATCTTTTTTTATGTGATAATAAGCATTTAAATTTAATATTATTTCTATTAATCTACAAATCATTTTTGTACATTCAGTGTTATGTGGACAATAAGAATAAACAATGAGATGACAACTTTATTGATTATCCATTTAATAAATATTTGAATGATTTTTATTTTGATTATAGTCACATAATTTAAAAGGACACAATTATAAATGGTCTATTTTTTCAAAAAGCATGTGCTTGTTAACATATATTCAGAAAATATTTGTTTCCCTATTAATGATGTCAAAATATGCATCAAATAATGTTCCACCCTCATTAAGTATAACAGATATATGTCTGTATTAACTTAAATGAACAAATTGTAATACTTTATATATGCTTCAATATATGCGACACGGTGTATCATTCATATTTTCCAGCATCACAATGTCTTTATAATTGGAAAATGGCAAAAGTACATTTATAAAGATGGTCTTAAATGCACTTAAAAGTACTTTTTAAAGTCAAATATCTTCTGCTATGGTTATAAAGTCATGGTTATTACAAACATAATAAGAGAAAATTCTAGTCCTTTTAATTTGATTTTTATTACAGTTGGCATTTCTGTGTGGAGTTTGCATGTTCTGCCTTTGTTGGTGTGGGTTTTCTCCGGGTGCTCTGGTTTCCCCCACAGTCCAAACACGTGCGCTATAGAGGAATTGAATAAATTTAATTGGCCGTAATGTATGTGTGTGAATGTGAAAGTGTATGGGTGTGCCTCAGTACTGGGTTACAGCTGGAAGGGCATCTGCTGTGTAAAACATATGTTGGAAAAGTTGGCGGTTCAGTCCGCTGTGGCGACCCTTGATGAATAAAGGGACTAAGCCAAAGAAAAATGAATGAATGATCAAATATATAATGTGATATTTTATATTTGATCAAATTACTTTTGTATTAAATAAGCCTGGAAATATTTTTGACACACAAACACACACAAATTCTCCAAACATCTGAAAGGAGGTTTAAACATCTCAAAACAACCATATGAAAAGTTAATACCACAATGACATCTTTCCACAAGTCTAACATATTATATATTATTTTAAACTTCTGCATGCCTTTTTTCAGCGATGCCCTTATGTTACCTGAGGCAGTTATTTAAATATTACTTTCAGTTTTTCTGAACCTATGGAAGCCGATCAAGTGTGTCGGTGGGAGGGGCCGTGTGGAATCTGCGCGTGGGGCTTCGCAGGAGGTAACCAATCAATACTCTCCCAATTCCTCCGAAACAAGCGCTGAACTTCAAGACTGGATTTAAAGGGACAAATATCTTTTAATCATCTCAGAGTGTCTGAAATGATCTACCCGGGCAGAGGAGCATCTCTCAGTGTGGCCGTGGCGCTCGTACTGTTCTCATCGGGAGCTCCGTGGACTTTCCGAGAGGAGAAGGAGGATGTAGACAGGTAAAGTGCTGTGCTGTCTGTCTGTCAGCTCGCTGTTTACACGAACCCAGCGGATGGAAAGTTTGTTTCCTGTGAGTGAGCACAATTGTTTATGCGCAAAGAAAACAGCTGACGGCTTCTTGTCTTGCAGAGAAGTGTGTTCAGAAAGCAAAATCGCAACGACGAAGTACCCGTGCGTAAAGTCCACTGGAGAGGTGACCACATGCTACAGGTAAACGCGCTGTTTACTTATCCATCTAAAAACGTCATGTGTTTGTGTATTGTCTGTAGGCTACTCGATATTTTGTAATATTAAGGTAAAGTTGGTTTTGTATTCGCACATTTGTTCATTTTTGAACAGTAACACCTTGACACTGTCTCTATATTGCTTACCAGGTTACTTTAAATATTCGGTCTAACATGCAGGTATGACTAAAACAACATTAGCACTATTTAATTGTCTGTAAACAATGTACTTTGATAGTCATTTGCTGCTAATATGATTTCACCATGTAGAATTAGCAAAGATGCTTTTCTGGAATTATATTAAGGATAAAGTAATAATGTGCCAATATAAAACACACTTTACCTCAAGTTTTTTAGTTACTGGAGTGATCAGGGGCAGAATTTGATATTAAAACTGGCCATGTGGGATAAATAAAGTGTCATGGTTGTTTATTTTACTTGTTTATTCAATGAATCCTGTTTTGTCTGGAAATTTGTATTCGCATGCTGCCAAGAAATTGGCTTTCGTTGTTTTATGATTAAGTCTGAAATGGAATCGCTGGCTCCTTTTCTGATGGCACTCAGTTTTATGCTGTTCTACATCACTAATAATACACAGACTCCAGCTGTGATTTATGCTTTTCTTATGTGGCGATGAGGAAACCATATTGAGTTTATATTTAGAAAATGAGACCCATATTGTGTCCTTTTAAATCGAAAATGACTCCAAAATTTGTTCAAGGAGCCTGTTAGTTACTCTTTCTTTATATATAATTGTTAGCCTATATAGAGCATCGAATGCCTGTTCTTTTCTGTTCCTTATCACAAAGTGACCAGGGTTTCTCTGTGATAGTGTCTTGTGTGGAGCATGTTAAATAATCCTGTTTTCATTCCTGTGACCGTTTAGAGTTAGTGAAAGAAAGCTAGGAGATATTATTCTTTGAAGGTTGGGGATTATGATGCTGGAACTTTAAGCCGGCTCCACATGCAAAGCAGTCCCAAAATGATCAGCCTTACTGTGGTAACTTAAGCTAGGTTTGAAAGCTGGTTTTGTTGTTCCAGTCTGCTACTTTGCCAAGTGATGGTTAGCTTGTTATTGAGGTTTATTGTGCTGCTGCAACCCCAGAGCTTAAAGGTATACTATAGCTTATTGCTCCCTGAGTTTTGAAATCTATATGTCTGACTATAATGAATATACTTACCATCAATGATTGTGGTTGCTGAGCATAGAAAAAGCATCAAACAATTATGATAAACCTAATCTAACCTATATAAATTTGCCCTCTCAATAAGCAACATGTACAACTTTTTTACTTTGGTACTGTTTTACTTGGGTACTGTAAAGTCCTGCCTTTTTTTCATGTGTAGATTTATTTATTTTTTAGTAAAAAAGCTAGCTAGTCATAGTAATGGAAAGAATGGTAAGTCCCTTGCAAAAGTATTGTGGTCTGAAAAACGTTTTTGGTTTAAAAACATTTGTGCTTTCTCGCAAATTTTTTTCCATACCCCCAAGAAACTTGGCATTTGCTTACAAAACAGACAGACTGGCTCAGTGGTTAGCACTGTCGTGTCACAGCAAGAAGGTCACTGGTTCAAGTACCGGCTGGGCCGGTTGGCGTTTCTGTGTGGAGTTTGCACAAGCCCAAAAAGACCCCCAAAGATTTCCCCACAAGTCCAAAGATTTGTGCTATAATTGAATTGAATAAACTAAATTGACCATAATGTATGAGTGTGTGTGTGTGAGAGTGTACATAAAACATATGCTGTGCAAGTTGCCAGTTCATTCCGCTGTGGCAACCCCTGATAAATAAGGCACAAAGCCAAACAGAAAATGAATGAATGAACACAAAATATTTGTGTGCTCTCACAAATCTTTTGCATTCCTCTGAGAGATTTAGCGTTCGCTTAATGCTTTTGTAATAAAAATTATATTGTGGGTAATACAAAATATCTTCGAGAGAAGATGCTTTTTTATCCGACATAATATTCCAAGATGGGCTGTGTTCTTTAAATGGTTATCTACTAGAGAATTCATGCTAAAGCCATTGAAGATAAAATATTTAAATATTTGCTCCCTTGCATTATAACCTTTTAACTCTCACACATTCTTCTGTGCGTTTAAATCAGAGATGCCAAATGTAGGGCCCGTGGGCCAAAGTTGGCCCATTGAAACCTTTGATTTAGAATAGGATAAACTTTATTTGTTCCAGAGAGGAAATTTGTTTTGGGCAAAACTGTGCTACAACGTTGCTCTAAGCAAACAATAAAATAAATAAAACAAACAAAGCAGTTAAGAACAAACAATTAAGAACATACACTGTTTACAAAATAAGACAATATATAAATATGAAATCTATAGAACACAGTCAGGTGCTAATGTACTACAGGTGCATTGTTCTTGGTAGAGTTCAACAGTTTTGGCCCCAATCCCATGTGAGAGGAGAAGTGAGTATGATGGAGAGGGTTGGGACAAACGCCTTTAACACAGAGATCGTCATTTCTAATTTGACATAGCCTTTTTTTGTTTGTTTTATTGCTGAGCTACAAAAAAAGCTAACTGAAATTAAATGTTTCAATAAAATGTGGTCAATGAAACAGATTTTTTTTTAATATGTAAATATCGATGGATAGAGGACTATGCATAAGACATCAGCAAGCAAATCAAGGCAAAATTAGTGTAATTCTGTTATAAGTGAGATTGTTTTGTTTTTATTGTAATAAGTTCATTATTAAACGTAAAAAAAAGCAATGTAAAGCAATGGTTTCTAGTCATTTCTAAATGTTATTGAATAAACTAGGAAATTACCCATGGCAACAATGTTTACCTTTGGCCCACTAGCCTTAATTAAGATTTGTTTTTGGCCCTTCATAAGAATAAGTTTGGGCACCCCTGGTATAAAATCCACCTGCATGCTGGAAGTAGCAACTAGAAGCACTTGCCAAAATTGTTGTTAACTTGTCCCTGTGCGTTCTTTGCACATGTTGATGCAACAGTACAGGTGACCTGTGGAGTCCCTGAGTCTGTCAAGCACCGATGGAGAGTATTTGCAGTGGAGAACAGAAGCCTACCTGATTTCACCAAGTAGGACATGTTTCGGGATTAACATCATGTTGATCCTGGAACAACATTCCAATCAACCAGTCAAAATTAAGGGATACGTTTACTGTTTATGTTAAGTTTAGATTTACAATTAGGTTTATGCACTTCTGCAGTTTTACAGTTATGGTTGGAAGTAGGGAATGGGTATGAATAACAATTTTGAACAAAAATTATGTTCCAGGATCAATGTAGATGTTAATCCAGGATCGCATCGAACTTGGCAAAATCATCACATGCGGTTTGTCATTAGCTCATATGCAGATCACTAAAATGACTCAATCGCTATTTTGAAATGAGCTCATAGTAAATGAACAGGTGCAGTTAGTATAAGCCACCACACCTCTTTTCACTTGTGGCTTGGCGGCTCTCAAACTCATGATGCGATCAGGAAATATTTATGTGTGTCATTGTTCAGTTGATGCTTCTGATCTGATTTGATCTCCTGCGCATCTGTTCTTGTGTTCGAAACATGCCTGCGAGCCAGGGTTTGTCACTTGGATAGATCATAAGGCCAAGCAGAGGAGAACGCTCATGCATTTGCAGTTTGATTGCGATCCATTCTGGAAATTGAGAGCTGCGAAAATTGCCCAGGAATGTAGGACTGAGTGATTCTTCCATCAGTGAGTGATCTATTTGTCTTTTTCGAGAACTTGTAGGATTTTTCTCTGAAACTAAAATCTAAGCAAAGACATTTTGGTGATGTGTTAAACCAGTATGCATGTGTTCGATGATAATGATGCGTTTAAATAATTGCTGTAAATTGAAAAATATTGATTTCCAATACTTAGTTGGTGCTGGATGGGCATCAGCTGCATAAACGTATGCCGGAATAGTTGGCAGTTCATTCCGCTGTGGTAAACCCTGATAAATAAGGGACTAAGCTGAAGGAAAATGAATGAATATTGATTGAAGGTATTTGCAAGTTATAAATTGAGTGGAACATTATTTTCTTGTAAAGCATAAACAATCAGTGTGTTAAATTAACATGAAATTGACAGCTCTGACCTAAAAGCATTTAAATCGCTAATATGAGAGCTAAAGAGTAATTACGTGAAGATTTATTGGCTCATATGGTTTACAGAAGAGAGCAGTGCATTCTGAAAGACTGCTGTGCAGTTGTTGATACAGTGCCATAGAATGTATTACTCTTTGTTTTCAATGAACTGCGGCATACAAAGTGAGTTAGTACTACAGTTTTGGATTAATAGATGTATTGTTTCTCAGGCCTGGGCTCAGGGACAGCACTGTGAAGCCAGATCAAAATGGATCTGAACTGGCCTTTCCAGAATATATTGGAGGTGATTTTAGGGAACTTGGGTCTTGGTTGCTCGTCCAAATATTTCCAGTGGTTTCTAAGCTCTGAAGTTGAAACATTCCAGGGCAAAAGGCAAAGGGAACCAAACAGACGAAGGACATATCATATTAACGCTTCAAGTTTTTTTTTTTTCCTCTAGGACAGAAACCCAGCCATGAACTTAAACATCAAGTTCATCTGACCACAAGCACTTGTTCATCGCCAGCAGAAAGCGTTTTTAATTATCAGCCGAACCTTTAAACAAACTGGGAAACCGCTAGAGTCCAGACGCACGTCTTTCTCGACCCTTAAGTTCATCTTAAAATGTCCAGTGGCCTCTAGGGAGTTTATTTCTAAATATGTCCATTAAAAGAAACAAGATCATATTGAGATTTTCAACCCAGACATTTCTAAAAGCTCTCTTGAACAACTGCAGATGTGTCTGGCGAATGCACTGTAAACTCAAACTAAGTCAGTCTGCTTCACAAGGGTGCTGGTTACCTACTCCTGACATTGTTCAAGTGCTTTAAGTTTTGGGATTTAAAGCTGAAAGATGAAGATTTTTCCAGAACACCAGTTTACTATTTTCCCTTCCATGCATTGTTAGGACAAA